TTGGGGCAGGTATCTCTGAGGATGCTGCCTTGTTCCTCTATCAGCCCAGGAGCTGTTGAGCTCTCCAGCACCTTCTCCATCCTGTGACGGGGGTAAGTCCCCAGCCTCACAGTTAAGCCAAGCTCACCGCTTTGTACTGGAAGAGCTGTGCAAACTCGTCCCTGGTCTCGTAGCGGTGGGCATTGCCCTGCCAGTGGTCAGGCATGTAGTGGATGTGTGCCAGGATGACTCGCAGCAGCTGCTCTGGGCAAAAGACCAGGTGCTGGTCAGGGATGAAAGACCTGCATGACAGGACAGGGAAACATCACAGCATTACACCTCAGTTCATGGGAGATGTCATCTTGGGAGGGCAGGGTGACTGGCCCATATCACAGCTCTACCTATAATCTTCTGACCAGATCAGCCCCTCACACCATACAACCACTGCATCCAGGATCACTACCTCTCTCTTCCCAGCCATGCCCCTCATTCACACAGATTCACATCCATTTGCAAGCAAAGAGCATGTTTACATGAATTGCTGCCAGCCTCACTGCTCCCTACAGTGCTGCCAGGAGCATGGGGACAGCACAGACCCACCTCACCTGCACACCGTGATGCCCACCCCGAGCAGGGTGACCGTGGTCAGGACGTGCTCGACCGCAAGCACGTCCTCATCATAGATGGTGAGAGCGATGAGCACAGCCAGGATGGAGCCAGCAAAGAAGGCCACGTTCTTGGCCACGATGGTGAGAAGCGGGGAGATAAAGCAGTTCATGTACTTGGAAGCCGGCTTGTACCCCTTGCTGAGGCGTGAGTGCAGTTCATGATCCAGCTCATTGAAGTGACGGAGGTAACAGCGGCCATAGAGAGACCAGCAACGGGCACCCAGGCTGCCCGGCTCCCGCTTCAGGATCTCCGTGTAGCTGAAGAAAGCATAGAGGATCTGCCAGATGAGGATGAGGGGGCAGAGGAGGAAGTTAGCAATGCCAATCCAGAGGATGCGAGTGCTGAGCTTCTCAGCCAGCTCCAGGCGGTTCCCGGCCCGCTTGTATTCAGCCTTCAGGCTCCACTCGTTCTCAAAGAGGGAGCCAGGACCCCAGAAGAAGATGAGCTCAAAGTTGTACTTGAGCCCACGCGTGTAGAAGACGGTGTCTCCCAGCAGGGGCAGGCGGAAGCGGATGGGCAGCAGTGACTTGTTCACCATGGCCACCATGTAGTTCTTGAAGCGGAGGATGCGGTGGTAGATGTCCAGCTCTGTCAGCTCCTTCTTGTGGATACAGATCTGGTGCTCCTTCTGGATCTGCACAATGCGGGCCTGCACCTCCTGCCAGGTGTAGTAGGGCAGGGTGGACTGGAAGGTGGGCAAACAGCAAGATTAGGAGCAAGAAGTATCCAGGGACAGAAGCCGGGCTCAGCCCATTGAAGTAGCAGGTCCCAGCATACACCTTGGGGTGCTGACAAGTGCATGCAACACCAGGACATGAGGCACCTCCTGGCACCACTTCAGCCTGCAGCAGGCAAACCCCACACCTTGCCTTTGTGCCCTTTACCCCCTAGATTAGCACAGATGACTGTTTCCCAGCCACTCATGCACCAGCTTCCTTGAAGAACACAGGGCCAGGCTTCTATGATTCCTCCCAGAGCTGTAATCTGGAGTCAGCAGGGAGAAATAAACACAGAAGGGACTTAAGCAGTGTCCCAGAGAAAACTGGGAACAAACCAAGCCTTTCAGCTCACCCCACCTTTCTCAAGATACTTTCTCCCTCCGAAGGATGCACAAATGCCTTTTCATGTTCATCAGAGCAGGGACTTTGGACTAGGAGGTATACACAAGCTTCAAACCCCATCTGTGACACACTGATCTCCTGTGTGACCTTCACAACTAAGTAGCTCCAAGCCTCCCACGTAAACAAGGAAGCTGAGGCTGTCCATATCCCAGGGAGGTACGAGGATATCCTCACTTATACCTTCTCTGTGGAAAGCATCACAGAAAAGACCACCGCTGAAGAATACGCATATTGGGTGGCATATGGCAGAGGCATGCGCCAGCAGGCAGAGAGGCAGACTGAGCACAGAGAGGTTAACACGGAATAAACTGGCTGCTGGAAAAGAGGCTGAAAGGAGATCATGTGGTTATGGAGCAGAGGGAAGAATGCTCGGTCTGACTGAGAAGAGGAGAGGCATGAAGGCAAGTTGCAACTGCCAGCAAATGCCTCCCATGACCCTTGGCAGCCCCGCAGGCAGCCCCTGGATCAGCGACTTACCATGGGGATCTTCAGGGCGTTGATGTAGAAAGAGTGAATCTCCCAGTAGCAGCAAATATTGTAGACAAATTTGACGAGTCGGTGGATCCAGAAAACCCCCGCTATCACCAAGATGCAGATGAGGAAGCTGTTTGCCTGGATTCTGCAAGCAAGAAGAGGCAAGTAGTGGGATGCAGGCCCAGACAGGAGCCCTGAGTACTTATAAAAACAAGAGCAGTGGCTAACATGCCCTCCACTGCCCCTACCTTGCACTGCAGACATTTGGAGGCAGGAAAGCATCTGGCAGAGTCACCTTAATGGGCTCAGTGGGATGCTGGCTGTGATTTAATGCTTTGTTGGCAAAGAGGATGTCATAATCAACACAGCTGATAAGAAAGGTGGTGAATGCCACCACAAAGATGAACTGCCTGTGAAAAAAGAGAAGTGTTGTGAGAGAATCACCCTTCTGTTCCACTACAAAACAGCCAGCAGCCAGGGTCATATGCCACGGAGATGCAATCCCACAGCCATGGCAGCAGGAACGCCCACAAGCAACAGTTCCTCAAAGTGAAATGCAGGTCTGGGGCATGGAAAACCCTGATGAAGGGGATACAGGACAATTATGAGAGGAGCCCTTCCACCTACACAGCTGCAAGTCTTGACAAGTGCCTGTGGCGGTCCCCCAGCAGCTGTCACAGCCACAACACAGGGGAACCTGCACTTACATGAGCTCAAAGATCTCTCCAATAAGCATGCAAGTGAAGCCATTCTTCTGATGCAGGTTATAGACGTGAAAGCTACAGTCAAGGAAAACAGCATGGAGACTCTTTTCAGATGAAGGATGAAGAGGCTTTTGTCCCACTGGTTTCCACAGCTCCTCAGCCAAGTCTCCCTTCACCACCAAGAAAAATTCTCTCCCACTTCTACTCATCAGCAAGTTGGTTCCCCACTGCAGAAAAACACACTCTGCCCAGGTAAAGCATAGCTGGGGTAGAAGGACTTGGCTTTGTTCATGCTCCTTTCTTCCTGCACTCAACATCCGTAGTGGGAGTCTGTTCAGCACAGAGCAGAAACTCAGCCTGCACTCAGGCTGCATAACAGTGGATAGGGCAAGGCAGGGTAGGGCAGGACAAGATAGAGACAGACAAAAATGCATTTAGTGCCACCTGGTATCTGCTCCTGCCCCCAGCAATGTGGTCAGCATAACTAACACCATTTCATAAGGCAAGCAGCCCTTCTCTGTCAGCGAGGGTGTCACCAGTTAGTGGGTCACCCTTTCCCCAGTTATCAGGCACTGAAAGTCCTGTGAACCAAGTAGATAAATCAAATGGCTTTCTGCTTTCCCTCCCTATGGGCCTCAAGATTCCTTGGCACCAGGCTGATTACTCTCTTCCGTGCTGTCCTTGAAGGTCCCAGGCACCTGGCCAACCCAACAGAGGTGATGACCCCATCATTGAAGAGAGAAGCATTAACAGCACCCAAAGAACTATTCACAAAATCAAGGAGTTACAAATCCTAAGTGGGAACTTGTATCACAGCTGCTTGTGGACAGTGACACCCAGGACACTCAGTAGCCAGGCATTTCCCCCCTTTGTCATCTGTTTCTAATGAGAACTAGGCAAATTACTCAAAATTTTTAATGTGATTTTTGAGTCTACATTACGATATTTATATTGATGCACAAAACCAGATGTTAAGGTATGTCTAGAACAGTAAAGAGTCCAGATGATTAGAAGCCAGAAACTAAGAGATACTATAAACTTCTGTTCTATGCTACTTATAAAATTGTACTACACTGATTCTGCCTACAGAAATCCTGTACTACTTGTAAATGCCACGCTAGCAATAATATCCTGTTAAGAATATAACACATTAACTGTAATGACAACACTACCATCGTTACTTTTCCAAGAATTCCTAGAAGCACGTGTATGACCCTGCATCAAGTGACAGAGTCCCAAGGCATGGGGGGTTCTGTCAGCCCCTCTGAGCCTGTGTAGCATCCTGCAGGGATGGCTGACACTGCCCAAGCTCCAAGTTACACAAAGTTCCATGTTTTCCCCGTACTTAGAGCCGGGACGAAGGGGATAAATCCCGCCTGACCCTCGCCCTACAAAAGGATATGCGAGAGAAGAAAAGGTCGAGGTTCTCGATGTGATGCCACGGAGCTGAAGGAAGAAGCAGCACAGGGTGAGGGGTCCTCAGCACACCCACCCTTGGCGTTGTGACCAGCACAACCCACCCCTTCGCCCGCTGCCCCCCAGGCCCCAGAGCCGCCCCGCAGCCGCCACCCCGGCTCCCCTCGGTGTCCAGCCTCGCCCCTGCGTCCCGGCCTCTTCCGCACCCCGCCGCCGGCCAGGCCCAACCCCCGGTGCCGGTGCCATCGCTCACACTTGGCGCCCTCCGGGACGTGGACGAGCAGGTCGCCGCCACCGGGGGGAGACTCGGTGGAGGAGCTCTCCAGGCGCTGGTACTGCGTCTCGAAGTGGGCCATGGCGGGGCCCCGCGCCGCCGCCGCCGCCGCCACCGGCGCGGCGCGGCCCGCTCGGCCCCGCCCGCGGCTGCGGGCACGGCGCCCGGCGCTGAGCGGGTGCGGCGCGGAGGCCAACGGGCGCGCGGGATGTGACGAGCCGCGCTTCCGGGCCCGGCGGGGCGCGTCACGGCGGGGCGGGCACGGCGGCGGCTGCGGGCTGCTGGGGGACGGCGGCCGCGGGGTGATGGGGTACGGCGGCCGCGGGGTGCTGGGGTACGGCGGCCGCGGGGTGATGGGGGACGGCGGCTGCGGGAGTGATGGGGTACGGCGGCCGCGGGAGTGATGGGGGACGGCGGCCGCGGGGTGACGGGGTACGGTGGCTGCGAGGTGATGGGGTACGGCGGCCGCGGGGTGATGGGGGACGGCGGCTGCGGGGTGATGGGGGACGGCGGCTGCGGGGTGATGGGGGACGGCGGCCGCGGGG